TCACTGTTTCATGCTCTCCAGCTTCATTTCAGCAAAATTAGCAGCTGATTTTTGTTAATCTGTGCCTCATTGACAAACATATTTAACCTGTCCCCCCACCTTTTTATTGTGTATATAGAATGGCATCTTCTAGAAGCAGCGGCCATCTTGTTACTCAGCCTCCTGTGAAGAGAGACATGGTCCCACTTGGCCGAGTGCATGGTGCCAGCTTCCCAGAAAACCCAGAGTTAATTCTCCTCTAAACAGTTTAGGATAATCACCTTTATTTGGCCAAGTATGTTACACACACAAGGAATTTGTTTCCGGTACAGATCTGAGGCAGCCATCTGCGGCACCAACTCACATCAATGGTTCTAACCATTGGGGACAAAGTGTCTTGCCTAAGGACACTTCAACATGTGGACTAGAGGCACTGTGTTTCAAACCTCCAACCCTCCGGTTGGGAGACAACCGCTCTACCCATTGAACCACAGTCACCCCAAAAAAGGTTTCCACCCATTCAGGTTACTCCTCTGATGTCGACACATTGACTAGAAGGCCCTTATGTGAATACACAAGGGTTCTAAGTCTCAAAATATCTGAAAGGCTATGTAAGGCTGGTACTCTAACTTCTGTGTCTCATAGGACAGAGTTAATTTTACTCTTGGCTTAATAACAGGCAATATGAATAAAGTTTAACATGACTTTGTATATGTGGAAAAATGTTGTTCATATGTGACAAACCCCCAGGGAAAAACCCTCCAGTTTTCCTCTGCTCTGTACTATAGGGCATTGAAGCAGTTCAGCTTTAGTTATTGGCACAACTTTTGTTTTGGTTCACTCACCTCTGTCATTTCCAGCTGCTGCCGGCAGCTGTTTTCATCAAAAGATCTACAAAGATGCTACCTGCTCAGCACCAAATGACAGAGTACAGTGGAGCATTTAACAACTGAAGAGTTGGATGTTTCCCTCAGGAGATGCTGTGGAGTAAATAACTAAGAGGAGAGTAAATTCTGGGCTTGCATTCTCCACAGACAACTCCAGATGTTGTTCCATGTCTGCTGGATGTGTCCTATTTTATCAAGTGTTTGCCATATCAACCTAAAAGCCAATAATACACCAATGCAGTTTCTTTTCACTGCCCCCAAGTGGCCCAAATGCAGGTTTAATATATCTGTTTAACACAAAGCCTCTTAGTATCTTCTGTTTTCTTCATGTTTGCCATCTGAACAGTTCTCAGGTTTCATTCACATTTCATGGGTTGATGTGAGGAATGCCTTGACTGCTTCATTTCACAACAGACGCGCTCTTTCTGCCAAAATTGCACCTGCATAAACAAATTCCTCAGTGACAGATCAGCGCATCACGAGCATTAACAATATCAGCAGTGACACAAAACTGGCTGAAAAACCCAAGACAATGTCCAATTATCAAATGGCTGCCAAGCTTTTGTTCTTGTTGAACTTTTAAAGGCCTGTTGCTCTCATTCTTGCTCTCATACTCTTTCACAAGCACCATGTACACTGGTTTCAGTTTTACTCACACATAGCTTTCTCCTGAAAAAACATAAATGAAAGTAATGAAGTGAAAGATAAGTGAAGTTGCAGAGAGTAAGGAGAAATGTGAGGGTGTGGAGAAATGAATAAGGGAGGAAGGACTGGGTTTGACAGAGACCCTCTGAATAGACTGTGATCTTTAGACTCTCCACCGTGACACAGGACTAGACTACAATAGAAACAGTAGTCCTCAGGAATAACTCTCTGCCCTCGTTCCTTTGTTATTCTCAAATCTTCTCTCCCACTTTCACACACACCCCTCTCATTTACGTCATTGCTACCCTGTTTTTCTCTGGCAGTCGCCTACTTTTTTTCATCTTCTTATCTCTTGATGATTCTGTTTATCTTGTTTGTGAGAATGCATGTGAGGAACTTGACCTTGTCTAAAATACTGTGAGGGTAGCTGAGCATAGCCTGATGCTCTTTCCAAAAAATAAGTCTCTGAGCAAAGTTTTTTTCCATGACAGTTCTGAGCATGAATTCACAAAGAACTAGTCTACAATCCTGAAACACTTTGTGTCAAGGCTCATATAAAGCTGACTTTAGTTAATCAACCTAAAATCACAATCATTTATAATCTGTACAATGGAGGACACCTTATATCAATAAAACCTTAGCATGAGCAGTATATGTGCATGACCGTGGCTTCTCTTCTATCTGGGGACAGCAGAAACAATACTGACAACTGTGAAATGAACAATGATCTTTGAAGTTGCTAGAGTGGACTTGTTGCCTATTTGCAGGACGCCTCCAGCAGATACAGAGCTACATCCCTTCTGAGCTGCATTTCTGACCCTTGATGAACATAAGTGAAACATTCTCTCTGTTCGCTTTTGGTCTCCACTAGCTTCAAAGAGATGTCTGGCATTGTAGAAGCTAAATGCTATGTTCACCGGCTAGTTGCTGACTTTGTCTTTCAGGTTTGTTCCTTTCAGCCTTTTACACTGAAAACAGCTGCTTGCAAGTGAGAGTGAATCCAAACGCTACATTGCCAGAAACCCAAAGCAATGAGTTCCGTGACGCTGACAACCTCTGGCGAGCTGAGGCCAGCTGTGGGGTCAGGTGATAATTGTTTGGGTTTGTTATATTTAACAGCCATATTAATCCATCTTACAACAATACAAAGCACAAGAGCTTTAAGTAAATAAAATACATAAGATATATTAAAATAACTGTGATAAGTAAACTATTTTAGGCAAAGTGTAAAAGTGTTTCTCCTCTTTTCAGCATCCAGCTTGAATGAGAATGAAAACTTCAAGCAACCTTCTAACATGATATAATATTCACATTATTTTTCTTATTCAATGCTATCTGTAGCTGATTTTTATGTTTGTTGCTCCAAAATGACATTGAAAAATTGAGAAACTCTGATCTCAGTTTTTTCATAGGAACATTTTCCTGACAAAAGGCATATAAAAGCTGGATGGCCACCCACACACGTTGGTCCCACTCTGGCCTCTCTGTGAATGAGGACTGTAGAACAGAGTTTGGCAGCCGTCTGCTGTGCTACGGATGCTTATCAGAAAGGCTTACAAATCCCCCTGATGCTCTTGATATGGAGGACAATAGGTTTACGTGCATAGTGGGAGCACTCTTTAAAGCCTCATTGAAACCAACTTCACTATGCTCTTTAATGAGGTCAGGGGAGCCTGCTGGCTGTATTTCATCAATGAATACAGGGCGCACAGTCATAATAATCTTCAGTAGGATGACCCGTACCAGTCGGTGAAATCACCTTCCTGAGCAAACATGCTGGACCCACTGGTTTAGTCAGTATTTCAGTCACTAAAGATCCAAGCGATTGCTTTCACCTGAATCTACTCAAAGTATATTATCATGATATGAGAAGTCAAACAACATTTATCAGTGCATTCTTCAAAGAAATTCCACAGGTTCTGCCTCTCTGTGTGATCCTGTTTTTGTACTGGACTTGAGGTTAATTGCCATGGCGGGTGCAGCTGCGAGGCCACCAAATTTGCAGGTGAATTTTCAGCAGCTCTCAGTAAACACATGAGCCTTCCACATGGCTTTGTGCCACTTCCAAAGGATGTGGCTGAAATGAGACTGAATAAAGCTCAAACAACAATGAAACGAGGCACCTGCTGCTGATCAGTTTCTCACAGATTCAGGACAAACACTGCATTAATAATGAAACAATAACCTTGTTTGCACCTTGAGTTGGCCAGCCTGCTCAAACTGATTCTAAATAACAGAAAATGGCATCAGATTAAAATATGAATCTGATCATGAACATAGTTTTTGGTGCTGTTCGTTTATCAGAGGGTGTTTTCAGTTGACCGCTGTGGAATGTGATGTTGGGTTTAACCTGTTTGTTGGCTTTGGGTGGAAGCAGAAGACCGTTGAAGTGGTTAACTGAGCGTCTGCAGCTGTGGTTTCATATTTAGGTAACTGGGGTGGTGCACCACAGGGAGCATAAGGAGGTGCCCTTGTACTGTACTATGAGGAAATGTGGTTAGTCACGTTTATTGTGTCACACCCTATATGGTGCTTTTTAAAGACTGGTGCTATTTTACAGTAGTCAAATACTCATGGTGATGATAACACTTAAAAATCTTTCTGAAAGTGTATATAAAATATACAGTTGCATATTATAAAGTGCTATTTCACATTTTTTCTTACACAATTATAACCCTCTTTTTTCTACTGTGCTTTGTATAATAGGCAATGAAAACAATAATTATAATATAATATATAATGTTGCAATGACAAACTGAATATTGTTAAAAAATGTTATATGTATATATATTACAATAATAATGTCATATAAAAACTTGGGCATGGCACTATACACTTAAATTGAATAATATCTTAATTATACATTATTATTTATGTATTATTAGCCAATATTAGCAATAACTATATATCATAAAAATGATATAGAGTATGTGTGCAGCATCTACAGGTACTGTAGCTATAGTTTGTGTGTATTAATTATTTTTACTAATAGTTATTTTCTATTTTGTCATGATAATAATAATATAGAATATTAAGTTATACATAGGCTGCATTATAGGGAAAATAAGATAATATACGCCATATAACAACTCACATGAGGTAATATAGTTAAATGTTGCATTCAGTGTTTTTATTAGGTGTGATCTAGGTATTGTTTCATGTACTGTAAAGCAGTCAAAGCATTTAAAATTACTGTTATTGAACATGTGTGCCTAGACAGAAAGGGTATCATTTATAAAAGGTTTATATGTTTGCATATTGCATTTTTGTTAGATGGTAGCAATTTTATTGCACATGCTATAGGCGTGTAGATGTGCATGAAGTGACATACAACATATTTTAATGTGCAGAAATGTTGCCATGAAATGTGGCGTTATGGTGTAGCTATGGGAAGCCGATGACTCAGTGGGTTGTTTTATTTTTTCGTCCTTCCTGTTTGGCTAAAACCAGCTTGGGTACTTGCTATTTATTAAACGGGTGAAGGGATGCCAAGTCAACACGTACTGCTGTTTAGGACCAGCCCTGGAGGCGTAGCTCTTGTGCGTATCAGCAAGTGCAGGACAAGGAACGTGCTCAGATTAATCAAAGGTGGCAGGGCGATTTCGGTTTCCTGCGGTGGATGTGAAGTCAGTAAAACTAAACGAAAACAAGTCTGTTCGTCAAAGCAGAAAGGACATTACAGAGGGAAGAGCACTTAAAACAGGTAAGCCGATAAAATAAGCACACATGATCATGAAAAGTGGATTTTCTGGGATTTCTAAAAACACCGAACATCGCGGAGATGCTGCAATTTTTACGTCTTACTTGCTATATGAAAGATACTTTAGTGTACGGGTTACAATATAACAGCGTTTTTAGGCTATGTTATTAAATATACCAAACCGTCATGGAATCATATAGCCTTGCTCAATATAGCACACCAACAAAAATAGAACGTTGAAGGAATGTTTCAGTAACATTATAGTGACTTTTTTGTATCTCTCCACATTCCCAGCGTGTCCCGGCGCTGTTTATTTGCTTCCCCATTACAACACAGAGTCGGGCCCCTGTAAACTGACACCTGATAAGAAACATTTGTTTCCAGCCTGATACAAATCGACAATAACAACAATGACATTGTATGTTTGTTGTCAGCTGCAGCCCGGGATCGTCTGTGTCTCTTTGGTGCGTAATGACGCACAAGCCAACGCTTTTTTACTGATAATCTACGCGGAAACATGATGTCCTGTCCAAATGTGTTAACCCAAACTAAAGCCGGAGACTGACAGGCGAAACCTCTGACAGACTCACTGCACCTGCACTATTCTTGTCAGCAGACGTTAGTTAGCACACGAAAATGTCTTTCATGTCTTTTATTGTGGATTGGGAAACAAAAGGTTTTCAACTCATTTGAAACTGGATGCTGAAAAGAGGAGAAAATAAGAGATATGGACTACGTGTAGTCTCTGTTTTATCTGATGGTGTGGGTGTTAAAAGGTTAATTAGCTTGAAACCTGTGGGACTACCTGGCACCTACAGGTATTTTCCATATAATATAAGGGCATTAGACAGAGAATTGTGAGGAATCATCTGAGCATAGAAAATCCCTTTGTTTGAATGAAAGGTGCTCCCTGAGGTGTCAGAATAATTGAATGCTAAATTAAAAGTGAGGTATCTGACATCCCTTTAAACAGATTTATCACAGGCAGTGGTGGAGAGAGTATTTGGATTCATTACTACCTAGAGGCTGCAATTCCAAATATAAGAATGAGAACCCAGCATTCAAAACTATGAAGGTACAGAGGTATTTATCAGATAAATGAAGCCAAAATAAAATTCCTCATTGGCCCATGTTTGGAATGGACAGTAAGGACTTCTTCTATAGTATACACAATTTTTATATATAGCTATTAACATTTGGCTAAACTAGTTCATTAAATACCTGAGTACAATGAAGTTACTTCATCACATTGATGACAAAATCATGTAAATTTTGAAACATTACAAAAACGCATACATCCACATGTTAATAATATTTTACAAGCTGATCATATGTTTTGATTGTATATAAACTGCATATGTAAAGTAACCAGTAACCACAGAGTAGCTGTTGAATTAATGTTGTGGATTAAAAAGTACATTGTGGTAGGGTAGAAATATAAAGCAGTAAAAAGACAAAAGAAAAGTGGAGCTGATTCCATATACCAGAGGCAGATTAGACAGCTGCACATCCTAATGTGATCCAGGTGTCCATGTATTTACTTATTTTTACTTTGAATTTCTTTTTCATCATCCTCTGTGAGTCTGTGCCAGCTATCCTGTGCACAAGTCTCCTACACAGACAGATGTCTGTCGCGGTCACATTTCACTGCTTTACGACGTGCCGTGTTGCCCAGTGGACGGTGACCCTCGTTTTAATTGGAGTCGCACCATTCTGTGGGCGTCAAGCCTCCCCCGCCGATCTCTGCTCACAGTTCACTCTGTGAGCGTACAAGTCAGTCAGGGGCAGCGGCGGGGTTAAGCCACTTGTGTTCTGGTTTTGATCCATCACCTTTCACCTCTGATCTGTCACACAGTGGCAGGCTGCCAGTTAGGGGAGCCGAGAGAGACATCACAGCAAAAAACCGTGAAGATAAGTCAGATCCGGCTCTGGCTGGACACCTAAGTAACCCTGGGCTCAAAAGGTTACTGGCATGTCAAACAGCTCTACCTCTGTGATACTGCTTTGGTCATCTTACTCTGAGTGCATTATGTACCCTGTAATTGAAAGTGTGTGCATATGGTCCTATATTATTGAATTCAGATGGCGTAAAATGACGTAACTGAAGCTATGAGCAGCCGTTTCTTTGATCGTTTGGGTGGTGACAGCTCCTCTCTCACCCTCTCCTTGCTTGTCTCAGGAGAAGAAGAGGACCATGGAATTTTGTTTAATTATAACAAGCATGTTAAGGGAAAACATTCTTTAAAGTGGCATCAGGTTTCCCACCCTGACCAACGCTTTATCTTGGAATGCCCGGAACGCTTCGGAAATACACCCTGTTTGGCTTTAGTGATCCCACTTCCTTATGTCTAATCTGCACTCTGTGCCAGTGGAGCTAATGTAAACATTTATTATACTGCCCCCCCGCGACCACACATCAATCATAGAGAACTCCTGAGTCAGTGACAGCACAACAGAGAGCCATTAACTCTTGAAAGAGGTGTTTTAACAAGTTAACCACATTAAGATTCTTCAGGATCTGGTGGCAGACCACAAGTGCCTTTTTATTAGCGCCTACAGTTTGAGTCCATGTAGGTAAAAAAAAAAAAAAACCAATGCTTTATGTATTCTTAAATATGATACCGTGAGGTACATGAAAAAAACTGGCAGCCTGTTTAGATGTTTTTCAGATAAATGTATGTTGGAAGAAATGACAAGTTAATGTCTTATTTTTACAGGATTTGTTGCAGTCAGACGTGGTGTGTTTTACCTCCCAGTGGTCTGTGGTCCTCGGTGAGCGCTGAAAAATGAGTTTGAGCACCAGTGAGCTTGAGGACCTGTGGGAGTCGTTTGGAGACCTGAACTTCTCAGAAACCTTTAGTAACATATCGACCGTGGCTGTAGATGTGTGTGCTACAGCGTTCAACCGCAGTGCTCTGCTCTACTCCATGTGCGTCCTCTACACGTTCATCTTCATCGTCGGCCTGGCTGCTAACACTCTTGTCCTCTGGGTCAACATCCGCGCACAAAGAGACTCCACCCCTCGCCATGAGACACACATGTACATCGCCCATCTGGCAGTTGCAGATCTGTGTGTGTGTGCCACTCTGCCCGTGTGGGTGAGCTCGCTGGCTCAGCATGGCCACTGGCCCTTCGGTGAGGTGGCGTGCAAACTTACACACCTGCTGTTCTCTGTCAACCTCTTCAGCAGCATCTTCTTTCTGGCCTGTATGAGCGTGGACCGCTACCTAAGTGCGATGCAGCATGGAGACAACGAGGGAGGTGCACGCAGGAAGCTGATTCGCCGTGGTGCATGTGTAGGGGTGTGGCTTCTGGCTCTGGTGGCCTCTGTGCCAGACACCTACTTCCTGCGTACTGTGAAGGCAACACATGGGGACTTCATGCTGTGCAGACCTGTGTACCCAGAAGAAAACCCCAGGGAGTGGATGGTTGGAGTGCAGCTGAGCTTCATTCTGCTGGGCTTTGTTCTTCCCTTCCCTGTCATTGCAGTGTTTTATGCCCTGCTAGCCAGAGCTTTCGCCCGCTCTTCTTCTTCATCGTCTTCATCAGTAGAGCAGGAGCGTTGTGTGAGCCGCAGGGTGATTCTGGCTTATATTGTGGTGTTTTTGGGCTGCTGGGGGCCCTACCACGGCGTCCTCCTGGCTGATGCCCTGTCACAGCTGGGCCTGGTGCCTCTGACCTGTGGCCTGGAGAATGTGATCTACGTGGCCTTACACCTCACTCAATGCTTGTCTTTGCTCCACTGCTGTTTCAACCCCATCCTCTACAACTTCATCAACAGAAACTACCGCTATGACCTCATGAAGGCCTTCATCTTTAAATACTCCACGAGGACGGGCTTGGCACGCCTCATTGAAGCTCCCAACATGTCTGAGGCTGAGTACTCTGCTGTAGCTGTAGACAATCCACCACAATTCTGAAACTTCCAAAATCCAATGAGCATTTCTTGAACACCATTTCTAAATCCAAATGACTATAATGCAATACAACTGTTCTTTTCAGAATCTGCTTTATGTTGACATTAGATAACAAGGAAAAGAGAAAAAGGCAAATTAGCATCTTTTTTGTTACAAAAATAGACTTGAGTCATGTAGGAAAGCTTCAAGATGGCTTAGTATTACTTTTGATGGACTGATTAAAAGCACTTAGAAAGTATTATAATAGCTTGTACTGAAATCATATGACTATTGTCATTCATTTGTAAAGCCTAAACAGTGAGTATAAATGTATACAATCATTGCCTTTTATCTGTATGTAGGATTGTGTGTGTGTGTGTGTGTGTGTGTGTGTGTGTGTGTGTGTCCATAATCTGTTGGGCATTGACTGCTAGTATCAGCAGAGAAATATTCTTAATCCTTTTGTATCAAGTTGTATTTATATACCGTTTTTTAAAACTGTTTTGCCTCTTTCACATTGCGAAGGAAAGTCTTCAAGCACTGTCTGCTTAGTGCTCCCCGTCATACAACGCTGCCTCATCATCTTAGTCGAGCCACTAGCTTGCTCAGTGTTGTAGTCCTGCTGTCATTCCTACTCATGACTTCATGTCCCATCATCTGAATGCTTCAGAAAAATAACACAAATCCATTTTGAATTGTTTCATGCAACTGAGGTTTGTATATTATTTATTTAACATGTCTTCTGTGCATCATAGCTAAAGAAATAGATTTTTTGAGAAATACACTTTGTTATTGTGGTAAATGAGAAGACTTATTATTCTAATGTCCATAACTGCTGTAATTATGCAGCTGTAGTCAGCAGCACATTACATTAGCCTAGCATAAAGAGTCCAAGGAAAAGATTCCCCCTAACAACACCTATAATGTCATCTTACAGTATATCATGTGTGTTTAATTGATATAAAAACCAAATTGTAAAAGTGAACATTTGTGGTTTTATGGAATATGATGTGCTGTTCTGTTGCTCTTTACCTTCAGGCAGAGCTGTGTTAGCTGTTTCTGCCTGTTTTTAGTCTGTGTGCTGAGCCAAGCTAATCACATGCTGGCTTTAGCCTCCTATTTAGCATAGAAACATGAGCATGGCATCAACCTTCTCATCTAACTCTCTGCAAGAAAAATGCAACAAAATGTCAAACTGGTCTTTGAAAAAAGCTGAGGTTTTGTACTTACAGTGACTTATTATACACCATCCACACTGATAATTATAATCTTGTCAGTTCTCTTTTAGTGCACAATATTCCCTAACATTTCATCTCTTTGCTCTGCATCAATGTGAATAGTACAACGGATACACATGTTAGTGTAAATGTAATCCCACTGCTTCAGCACACAGGCCACAGACAGTAAAAACCTTTACGACCAAATAACACAAAGCCTTACTCCTCTCATGTAAGCAGCAGCTGTGCTGTGCAGCAACCAAGTGTTTGTTAGAGACCAAATAATACAAACATCGCTGCATTACTTTAGAGTTTGTTTGTGTGTGCCACAACTTGACACCAAGTGATGGCATTTTAGGTGATGTAAACACCGACTTATACAGTTTACTTGCTTTATATTGTAGGAAACAACATATCCTTTAGATATGCTGACACAGAGCACACACTGTCTCCTGATTGGTTACACATGGATGCTTTTACACTGAAAAGATTACAAAAGTCTGGAGACACAAGCATGTGTCCATAAGAACAGAGGCATTCTTCTGGTGTTGTAATGTGTAACATGTGTTTTGTTATATATTAAATACAGAGAAAAATGGTTGTGTCAGTGAATTCTTTGGTTCTTGTCAAAGTTATCTCATAACTTAATGTCCTGCCTCAGGACTCCTAAAATTTAGGGTTTTAACTGAGACATTGTGGCATTTAATTTATGCACAGCAAACAAAACCGTCACGAATTTTGTGGGATACGCCACAGAAAATGACACCTTTTCAATTACTGTTACACAGCAAACATACGACATTACTACCAGTAAGGTCCTTAACTACATAGAGGGATATATGGGTGCATGCGTAGCATTGCTGCCTGTGGCATTTATAATTGTGAGAATTGTCACATGGGGATGGCAGTGGCTGTTTTACTCCTTTAACCCCAGGCCTCGACCTACTCTCCAACGATAGAGACAACACCCTGCCACAGTTATCGTCAGGTTATGTGACAACCTTCCAGTATGTCATTGTCATCCACTCACACGCAACCTCTATCCCCTCCCTACTGAGCTCAGTCAGGAAGACCGTTTTGGCAGCCAAGGACTACATCACTCTGTCTTTTTATTAGGAAACAGTTTGAAAGTGATTTCTAAATGACAGGGTTGCTTTCAGAGTTTGCCATGCCAAAGTCAACTCTTGTTCTTGCCTGAGGAGAGGACTGATGATGCAGTTCCTTCCACTGTTCCCTCCTATCCTGAGGACACAGATAACATTTTACAGGATATTTCCACATTTTTACCTCAGTTACAGACACTGTCATGTGTCAAGAATTAAGCAGTCAACATGCACCTCCTTCCTCTTTTTTATTATTTTTTCATTTGCTGCCTATACTGTAGATTTCCACTGTCTAAGGCTCCTTTTTTAGTATTGTCCTTCAGACAGTACAATCTTACTGAGAGGATGTATTGAATATTTGCGTTGTGAAGTGAGGGCTGGCTCAACACTCTGCTGAACTACTGCTGCGGTCGTAGGTTATATGTAGGTTTGATGAGGAAGCTGTGCAAGAATTTCCAATGGTCAAACAAGTCACTGCTAATGACATCCTCCCTGCTTCCTTCTTCCCTGTGACATTGCCTTGATCCTGCGTGAATTATTTTCCCACCACAAGTCCTAAGACCTGACCAAAGCCCAGTCAATATCTTCCTGATGTTATGGCCTGCTGATGGATTAGTGAACTACTGTTATCAGTAAATAAGATGCAGTGTGCAAGTGAGGGCTCAAATAATCTGTGGTCCGAAGCCATGGCTCCCTGCTAAGCTCCCCGTGTTCCCTAACTTGGCATAGCATGCAAACGCTTGCGTCATTATAATCAAGAAATCCACATAATGAACCTGGGGACTTCAGGGCTCCCAAGAGTCTGTGGTGTTTGAGGCAATTGTTTGCTTTGCCCAGTTTCTAATCCAACTTTAATATACAGTAGCTTTAATTTTTTTAATGCTCCAGATTAAAAACATTCTCTGTGTTGGATGCACAGAGAAAAAATTATATTGATCTACCTAGCTGGTATGTAAGGGCATGTACCAAAATGCACACACATGCACATGGTTGTACAGTACCCTTAATCTAACCCTAGCTCTAACCATAACCAAAACCTAAACCTAATTCTAACCTTCACTCTAAAACCAAACACCCCTTTAAAGGCCTGGGAGAAAGTGAGGACTGGCCAAAGTATTCTCAGCCCCATGTTACAGAATCAGACAGGTCAACACAATATAAAGCCATACAGGTACACACACACATACACACACAGTGGCTGGGACACACAGAGTACTGTCAATTTGTTTTCTCAATAGCAACGAATGATTTTCAACAAGCATTGTGAAATTTAAAAAAAAAGTGCTTCAATACTGGAAAACCTGGATAATGAGATCCCCTGATGTCCAGCTCAGTCATGGCTCTTCTTTAAGGCTGGTTTGTACATGAATTACGATACGTTTTTAATGGGGTATATGTGCTACAGCTTGATTTAATGAGCATCCAGTCGGTAATAGACAAGACCTGAAATCTATTAACAGAGTGTTGCTCTAGAGCACGACAAAGTCTACACCTTATGCTGAGGAGGTATAGACAGGGAGGAGGGTCAGAGCAGGAAAATAATTTAGATCAAATGGATTTTAAAAATATTCTCTGGAGGAGGACACATTGCAAATGTACTGAGCAAACTCATGTTGCACAGTAGGATATATTCACATAGACACTAAAGGCCGTTGTTGTTGTAGTGTAAAAGTAACTTCCATTATTACTGGCCCATTTCCAAGCATTTAGAATAAGTTCAGTTTACATTCAAGTCTGTGCTTGCTTTGCTCGGTCTGCAGGAATTCCCAATGAGGACTTACGGCAAAGAAAAGATTGTAAATTATTAATGCAAGCGACAGGGAAAACAGCACTCCAAGGGAGGTTTTGGTGTGAATATAAAGAAGTCAAAGGACAGGCTTAGTTTTAGCGCTCCAGGACTCCAATCCCGCCTGAAGAGGAGAACAAGTGCTGTGTCCAGATGCTAGACAGATGTTCAGTCAAAAGTTATAAGACCATCTGCCCTGAATTTGGATCAAACAGCATCAATGATACACATTAATTTACAAAGTCACAGTTTGTTTAACCTTCTAGGTGCAGCTCCGATAACATTAAGCTGAGGGCAGATTATTTGTGTGCACTTGAATATATCAACAAAAATCAATGTCTAACCAAAGAAGAAATTAATTTTGCTGCATTCAGAACTAATGACGATACAGTAAAATATGAGATAAGATAGCAGCTGGCCTGTGCACCCAAAATAATTCTGTTTCAGATAAGTAGAAACAGTGCGGTGACTGGGTGTAATTTTAAAAGGTCAAACAAATTTTAAAAGTTCACATTGTCTCAAACATCTAATTTTTGTGCATGTTTCAAGATATCTGTCTCAGAGTTTTGGCCTCCATCCCAATATACTGTAAGTGAATCAATCGTTTTCTTGTCTATTGTACTGGGCGTGGAGGCATAATTTTCCGAGCTGGCTGCCTGAAATCTGGGCCAAATAAAACTAAAGCTGTCTGCATGAAAACATATGGCAAACATACTAGCAAACAGTTGCCAATTTATTTATTCAGAGTTATGTTTCTGACCACCTGGTGAATGTAAGTCCAATATTTACTCTCCTTATAACTCTGTTCTGGTCTCTACCAGATTCAGAGGGAACTATCTGGCTTTAACAGCTACATATGTGATCCAACTAGTCCCTCGTATGTCTGCTGTTTGGTGCTGGGCAGGTAGTGCACAGTGGGCTTTTAGAGCAAATCAGGTTGATAGGAGCACTGCAACCAAACCAAACAGTAAAGCTGTGGGTCATAACACCAAAACAATGAACTGCAAGATGCTCAGCGCTTTTCTACAGCTAAGGCCACTGTTGAGTTGAGGTAATTCTCTCAGTCAACTACAACCCTTTCCACATTACAGATTATTTCTATACATAACAAAAGAATATTGATATTAAATAGTGATTCCATAAAGACAACAAGAATATCTTGTCTTAAAAAGTATAAAAATGTAGGGGCTAAAGAAAGAGCAGACTAGTTCTCTAGTTGCTAAAAGCCCAGATAGTCAAGTGAAATATCACAAATCACAAATTAGCCTCAAGGGGATTTACAATCTGTACAGCATGGGACAGTCAGAGCACTCAGCTGAAATATCAGTCTGCACTGTGAACTGCACCTCTTAAATCTTATTTATGATCCAAACAGATTAGGCACAGACATAAACTTCACATATATGCTCTGAATAATGGTCAGTGGTATTATCTCCCATTGCCTATACCACTCACTACATGCCTAATAATGGCCAGCCCCTCATAAACCATCCCATGGCCTACTGTTAGTGTGAAAATGCTAATGTTTTCCAGATCCAGAAATGTAACTGAATACAGTAGGCAGGACATACATGACTGTGGAAACTTGATATCCTGGTGAAGGGCTGATTTATACTGTACCACACTCTGCGCTCAAGGTACAGATTCAGTGTTTAGACATCTAATTCATCCAGCATCCGTCAGCTTTAAGAGCTCAGTCTGATGTACAACTTTTAGTTCACCCAGCCCTCAGTCAACTTAGCGACACGCTCTTGTCAGAGCCGATGATGAAACTTCAGGCACATGTTGGAGAGGAGAAGGCAGCTGCTTTATGGCTCATGGAGACACATAAATCCACACAAACCATTTGCTTGTGTTATTTTATGCATGTCTGTGCACACAGTAATGTGTCTGGAGTCAGAGGGAAGGTGATCATAACTTCATGTGAAAGAATCATATTGCTTTTATTTGACTGTTGTTTATTTAACTAATCACTTATTATCTTTTCATATTGAGAGTTTTATATTTCTGGTGTGTAGCTAATGAGAATGGATTATAAGAAATAACATCACAACACAACACAAACAACTTATGCTACACCCGAGGAGATATAATATCCTGAGCTCAAAAATCTTAGTTTGGTTATGTATTATATTTATCATAGTGTGTGACTCCATCAAATCACCCCCTTTTCTAGATGGATAATGAATGCCTCACATGCAACACTTTGAGTCTGACTGCAGGTAACGATATCTCATTTTGGCTCCTAAGGGGGAATGAAACGAAAGTGTTGGCACATTTTTACACCAACAGACTGTGCTTACAGCTAAAATCCAAGTTAGAATTTGCTGTATGTGCCACTCTGTGTGCGATGTTTTGTCTGTGATGATGTTTGAGCAGACAAATGTCTTCCTTTGGTTCCTGTCTGGGGTCAGACGCTGGTATTCTACTGGAAAAACAAGCCTGTTTATTCAGACAAAAGCAGGGCGTCCCAGTTAAATCAACATGACATCACTGCTCCAGAACCCAGTTTACTATGCTTTATAAACTTGCAGTTGCCTCCTCGTTCTGTCTACTTTGCAAGGCATGCCAAATTTATGACTTTCCATAAAATAGGCTCTGTCAGAATATGGCATGCCTCCAAAATGTTAATCTTTTCATGAACAAAGCTATTTGTGCCATTAATTCTAAACACTGGGGAATAACATTCTGTAACTG